CAGTTGCCAGTTGTGTTGATGTATGACTCCAATTGCCATGTGGGATGCAGGGGTGCAATCTTGCCATTCACCACAGAGAGCAAAGTGTCTTGGGAAAGCTTAAGCACCTGTATTACTTTTACACGAATATCCTGCTCATGTGCATTTTACAAGGCTGTTTAAGGAAATTTACATTTAGGGATTAATTAGTTCTCGTGGTCTTCAGGAACAATGCTGATAGATGTCAGACTATATAACTCCATAAAACTGCTGCTGTTTTTATTTGTATAGTTTGATTAATAGTAAATGGACATTGTAAATCAATAAGCTAGAGATGTTGCATTTGAAATTGTGTATGTGTGGCCTGGAGGACTAGCAGGTGACTAACAAGGAAGTTATTGAACCGATCCTTTTGCTAAACGATTTTATGCAAGGAAGGTTAGCATGCTTGAATGCCTGGAAGTTAAAGTATGTTATTTATCCCCTGGACAGATATAGGACATGACCATCACAGTGCAAGCTTCCATTTACTGCCCATTCCAAACCTAAGGCATTTCCTTCAGACTGAAAGGTTTTGCAGTCCATCAACTTTCTTCCTGATTGCACAGTCCCAAAGCCAACCTCTTCTGTAAGAAATAACCAAGAATGGATCCTGGGCAGTTGAAGGCATTTCCCATTTGTGTTGGCTTCTGAACTGTGCTCCCCCCAATACAATTGCAAAATAATGGCTGTTTCATGAATTCCATATTTGTATCACACCCTACTTCCACAACCCTGCCAAGTAGTTTAGGCAGCAAAATGTCTATCGCTCCTTTCAGATCCAAAGGTAAGGAAGATTCAAAACAATGACATTCTGAGTCATAAAAAGCAAATCCAAGAGATCATATTTTAACTGCATAAATCAGAAACGGCATTCTTGCCTAAAGTATGAGGCTATCCTGTGATTTTCCCTTGATGGGTTGAGGGTCCAAGGACATGTCACATTAAAGTATGCTGCCATTTTCCTCTCTCTCTCTCTCTCTCTCTCTCTCTCTCTCACACACACACACACACACACACACACACACACACACACCACCACCACCAGCAGTTTGGGCCTTTGATCCAGAGTGGCACAATGTAGTACAGGGAAGCAGCCTGACGTTTCCTCCCTGTACCATTTTACACTGAAAACTGCCTCTCTCTGCTGCTATTTTTCCAGATATCAGAGAGAAAACAGCACAGAGAGGAAAATATCCCCTTGCACTGAGGTTCTGATCCAGACTATGGCCATACATGGCTTTTCTAAAAATAGAAAGTGGAGAGCGCTAAGTATGGTTTAGGGCTTGCTAACCAGGTATCGGGACGCGGGTGGCGCTGTAGTCTAAACCACAGAGCTTAGGGCTTGCCGATCGGAAGGTCGGCAGTTCGAATCCCCGCGACAGGGTGAGCTCCCGTTGCTCGGTCCCTGCTCCTGTCAACCTAGCAGTTCGAAAGCACGTCAAAGTTCAAGTAGATAAATAGGAACCGCTCTGGCGGGAAGGTAAACGGCATTCCCGTGTGCTGCTCTGGTTTTGCCAGAAGTGGCTTGGTCATGCTGGCCACATGACCCGAAAAAACTGTCTGCGGACAAACGTTGTCTCCCTCGGCCAGTAAAGCAAGATGAGCGCCGCAACCCCAGAGTCGTTCGTGACTGGACTTAACTGTCAGGGGTCCTTTACCTTTTTAACCAGGTATCAGCCATTCACCATTATACTCATCCATAAACCAATGAGTAAAAGGCAGCTCTGTGTGTTCTTATATGATTACCCTTCTGACTGATGAAAATAATTTGGCTATTCTATACAACTGCATAGATATTTTAAAGACCTAAGCCAGTGGTTTTCAACTTGAATGGTGGTCAGGGGTGTTGTGGACAACACTGTCCCTGTCCCTCTTCCCTTCCCTCCCTCCTCTGATGACTTCTTATGTCTCTGCCTCCCAAAGGTTTGTGTGGCTGTTTGTTGCAGCAGCCCTGGCTACAAACTATGCAGGCAAATGGTGCCTCTGGGGCTGGCCAGGGGGTGCTGCTGCCAGGAGCTGAGGCAGCCTCAGAGTAAGCAAGGGAGCGGGAAAGGGAGCCCAGTCTCCCAGCCCTTGCTGTTGGGAATGGACAGACAGGTCCTAGGCCCCTGTGGGGCACTGTGAGGAGGCACCTCTTTTGGGGCCAGGGGGAGGGGCCAGCTCAGAGATCAGGGGCGGCAGCAGTGGCTGCCCAGAGGACTGCCAAGGAGCGGGGAGATGAGAGGAGGCTGAGGGAACACGCCACAAGGGAGAGTGTTCAAAAAAGGCTGCCAGCTCTGCAGGAAAAGGGTGACATAACTGGGCTTCTGAACCCCACAGGGGTGCCACAGAAAGAATATAGTTGGTCAAGGCAGCCGTGGACTCAAAAAGGTTGAAAACCTATGACATAAGCCCTGATGTAGGGTTGAAAACTTTCTGATATACAGTGGTACCTTGGTTGTTGAATGTAATCCATTCTGGAAGACAGTTCGACTTCTGAAATGTTTGACAACTGCGGCACAATGGGCAGTTAGCAAATTCAACTGAGAAAATTGAGAAACATGCTTCAGAAGCCGTTCAACTTCCGAGGCGCATTCAAAAATGGAAGCATTTCCTGGTTTTCTGTGTTCGAAAACCAAAACATTTGCCTTCCGAAGTGTTCGACAACTGAGGTACCGCTGTATCTTTTTCAATGGGAAATGTACAATTTCTTTTAAAAATCATTGTTCCATAAAATTTGCTAGTAGCATAATGAATGGATACAATACAGGTCAAATAGGCAGCTTCAGAGTCGTAGTACTAATTAACTTTTTCATGTGACTATTCCTGGGAAGCATGAATGAATGTACTGTATAATAAATATAAATGCATTGATCTTTGGACAGGCTAAAATGACTATATTAACCGTTTTCCATGCTTTGATTCCACACCCTACTTAAAAATGTGAACAATTTAGTTACTAAGCTGTCATATTTTCAAATATTTAGAAGTATTCCAGTAACATTACTTCCAAATAAAGCTTTGACTTGGTTTGAATATAACATGTGGCCATCTGTCATGGCCATGGATACTTTAGTTGAGATTCCTGCATTGCAGGGGTTGGACTAGATGACCACTGGGGCCCTTCCAACTCTATGATTCTGTGATTCTATGTAAACCACATTACAGTGGTACCTCAGGTTAAGTACTTAATTTGTTCCGGAGGTCCGTACTTAACCTGAAACTGTTCTTAACCTGAAGCACCACTTTAGCTAATGGGGCCTCCTGCTGCTGCTGCGCCGCCGGAGCCCGATTTCTGTTCTTATCCTGAAGCAAAGTTCTTAACCTGAAACACTATTTCTGGGTTAGCGGAGTCTGTAACCTGAAGCGTATGTAACCCGAGGTACCACTGTAGTAGCACTGGCCTATACATGTTTACTCAGGAGTAAGTCTTACTCAGTTTAATGTGGTATACAATTGAGTATACAATTGCAGCCTGAGCTCAAGGTGATTTTTTTTTTAAGTAGACATGTATACAATTGCATTGTAAGGGGATTTTATTGAATTGTTTTCCCTAATCAAGTATCTGCGAGATTGCTAAGAGCTAATTAGAGCTTAAATGCAAATCATAATATTTCTCCTCCTGTATTTCTACTGATTGAATTTTGAAAAAACAGTTGAGAATCTAGACCTGTTTTACCATCCTGTAGAACTAATGTTGTTAAGAAAGGGTTTTAATCAGGTCTGAATGCTTTTGAAATATTTTGCCAGAATATTATTGTTGTTGGCTGCCTTTGGCACCAGATTTTTGTTGGGAAAGCAGGATATAAATTATATTGATCTGATCTTAATAAATGAATCTGCCCAGTTTCAACACTGCTTTTTTAGGGTCAGTTTACATGAGGATATTCATCATTTGATGAATATAATATCAAGAGAAGAGGTGAATAAGGGGGGGGCACTATGGGTGAATCGCCATAGGTAAAGCTGTAATTAAAAATGTTCTCTGTGTGGCCTATTTAAAAATGTACTGAACATCTGGAAAAATAAGGGCCTACCAAAAACTGGGCCAGGAATTGCAGCCTGCAGGGATCCCAAAAGAAAACATAGAAGAACCTCCAAAGAAACTAGCTCAGGAATTAAAAACAGGCAAAGCAGTTCACCTCCAACACGATACCATAAAAAGGTGGCAACACGCACCCTTAAAAACATCCCAGGAAAAATAGTCACACACTTGCTCACCCTTCCACCAAACTTACCAGACGACAATTGGGGCACCTTTTCCTCCTACTTTTCTAAAGACTTTTGAAGGGGAGCTGGAAGACTAGGCCCAACCACTTTCTTTCTCTTCCAGAGATCTGGGTAGTGGGAGGCCTGCATTTGTCTCGTCAGCCAGCCCTGCCACTGCCCAACATACAAAAAAATAAAATAAAAAACCAGGAGGGGCAGAGACCTTAGTGGGCACCAAAGTGTTGGGCGCTTCATGGCATACAGCAGGCATAGGCAAACTCGGCCCTCCAGATGTTTTGGGACTACAGCTCCCATCACCCCTAGCTAACAGGACCAGTGGTCAGGGATGATGGGAGTTGTAGTCCCAAAACATCTGGAGGGCCAAGTTTGCCTATGCCTGGCATACAGGATGTGAAGTTCACACTGTTCCTCGGTTTGTCCCCAGCACCTGTCTTTTAGGCCATAAATATGTTTTTTCAATATACTTTTAAAATATTTTTTCTCTGGTTTTAATCATCTTGCAGTGCAATTATTAAACGGAGGTAATATCATGTGACTATGGCCTGTGATGTGTTTAACTGATAACCTGGTCCCATGTAGAAGTACTTTTAATCCTTGCAATACAATTAAACTAATGTAATTAGTAGCATTTCTACAAAATGTAAGATATAGCGACACTCAAGTAAAACGCATTATGGTCCTGGGCGATCGGATGCCTTCCCCACTAAGAGTAATGCACACAGACTTCATTTTTCACAACATTTGTAAAAGATTTATTATTTGTTCTCTTTTCCCCACTTTGTTACAGTTTTTGTCTTTATCTCCCCCCCCCAGCTCCTTGGGGTAGAAGGATGTCAAAAGGTTCCAGTCATTCCTCCTTGGAATGCTAAAGAGGTGAAGATAATCTTGACCTTTTCCAAACACAGTGTTTTGATTTGTTGGGCACTGCATTTCTTTCTGGTTTACAGCTGTCACTAGCCTGTGGAAACAGTGGAATTAGATTCAGTCAGTCATTAATTATAGACGACACAGTGAAAACGCCAGTATACCTGTGCAGTTCAATACAAACAAGATATACAAATGTTTTTGATATTCCATCACCACGGCCTAATGGGGATGACAAAGCACTCCAGATTCAGTTCACTAGTGTGCAAATGCAGATGCCTTAATATTTAAATATTCTGTGCCCCCTTGTCATGCTTCAGTGTTTATCTGTGCTCAGGGATGGAGGTCAGTGATTGATGTGGCTCTCCAAATATTCTTGGATTCTAGCTCTCATCAGTCCCAGTCAACATGGCCAAAGGTCTGGGATGATGGAAGTTGTAATCCAACCACATCTGTAGCGTCACAGCTTCCCTATCTCTGGTTCCGATGCTACAAAAATAGTCATTTATAGATGGTGTTACGAGAAACTCAACATATTCAAGGAGGCAAATAATAATAAAATAATAATACTAGCAAGTATTTATTAGAGGGGTATTTAAGCCTGTTATCTCGTGCCAAAGTTGTCTTTTAAATCACTGTATACTGAAAAGCATAGCAATTAGCAAAACATTTGATAGTACTTCTGGCAGTTTTAGGTTTTCTCTCGCAATACTATACACATTTCCCTGGGAGTTAGTCCCACATTGCGGCTTATTTCTTAGGATGTATACGATTGCACAGTAAACAGAAGCAGGGACGTAGATGCAACCCCACCCTCAACATCCCTGTTCATGACAAGCCATCTGCTCAGTCCCCGGCCATCCCCATGTTGAGGATGGAAGGGCTCCCACTTGTGTTTGCTTGAAAGCGAACAGAACCCTTTATGTGATCAGGTACCCTGATAAAACAGAAGGGTGAACGCTTTGAGTGTTCACATGGTCGAAGAAATACTGTCAGAAATACTGTGAAATATGGCCCTCCGATCTTGTCACGGTGCATTTTTTGGCATGTTGTTATCATAATCGTTATTATGATTAAACAATGGCTAACAGAAGCGTGACCTTTGCCTTTAAAAATGATTCAAAGCTGGAGGAGTGAATCTTGATCCCACAGAAGCTTTCTCCTCCCCTTTTGGATTGCTGTGATGGGGAAGTTCCCTGAGTACAGTTGATTTCCCAGTTATATTTATGTAAAATAAATTTATTGTTAGTAGGCTCAAAATATCAGGTAAAAGCAAAGCAGATTAATTCTAGAGTTGCCATGCATAGTTTGGTTGCAGGTGTCATATTGATGGATCACTTGTTAATTTCTAGCCCACCCTTCAACAGTTTCCCATGGCGGCTTACATGCAGGCCTTGGGAACATCTGCTTGTCAGCTCTTCCCATCTTTCTCCCTTGAAAGTTTCATCTCTGTCTCCTAGAAAGAGATTTAAGAAGGAATAAAGCCTGAGAAATTAATCTATACTCATTTTCGAGTTTCAGATGTTACTATATCCTGTACTATTAGTGTTCAACATCAAATATTACTTTTATCCAAAAGTTCATGCTAAAGGAAAAATGACATTTATGATGCCCGTACACCCTCAAATTCCAGAATTAATATTAGATACTTCTCTAAACTGAGATTCAAGCAGAGTGAAATGCCCATTAAGGAACAAACTGGGAAATTTATTCATCTCCAGAAGCTGCTGGCTAAAATGATAGAAAACATATATTTGGGCATAGCTATGCTTTTAGAATTGAAAATTAGGAAAGAGCATTAACAATGCAAGCCTAATTATAATGTTGAGGAACAGATTATGCCTAGACATCAATGGATGTAATTACATTAGGAGTTTAGTAATATATGAATCCTAAGCTTGGTCAGATTTCATTATGTATACTAACTAACTGATTACAGAAGAGAAGGATAGTCCTAGATCCTTTTTAACCTTTGTAAACAGTACTTGTTCTTATCTGACAATGAGGGGTACTATGATCATTTGTGTAGACAAAGATGGATTCAGAGGCCAATTCATCAATGGTCTACCAGTGGCTATTATCCATTACGCTTATATGGAATCTCCAAGTTCTCAGATAGTATGCCACTTCATATCAGTTGCTTGGAACAACCATGGGAGAAGGCTAGTAGTGGCAATTTTCCCATGTAAGGGTGGTGGACCTGTTCAAATGGCCCACCCTTGGAGACTGATGAGTTCCTGAATGTTCTGGGTGATCTTCTAGCAGAGATAGCTGGCAATACTATCAAAGCTCTGGTTTTGCTATGGAATAGCAAGATGAAACGAGCCATTGACACGATCGTTTCCAAGTGCCCTGTATGGTGTCATGGAGCCTGAGTGGCAGCTCCTTATTCTGGGGATTGGCGGGCTATGAAGCAAGCCAAGCAAATGGTTGTTTTTGTTTAAGTAAGTGGCTCAGGTCTGGTTCCGAAACTGAATGAACCCTGGTTAGTGCACATAATCATGCCTCCAATGTGGCAGTGCAGGCTGCGAAGAAGGCTCATTTCTCAGTTTGCGTTGTATCCTTTAGTAGTTGATAGATGGAGTTATTTCAGGTGGTCCAGAGCTTACTGATTCCTACTGTGGATGAGGGACTCCTGGAGTGACCAACTGGCTACACAGGATAAAGTTGCTTGACTTTGGAGTGACTTTGACTCTGCAGTTATTACATTCCCAATGCCATAGGCAGTGATAGGAGTGCCAACTTGAGTAGCAAATAAATGGGGGCAGGTAAGCCCCACCCCACATAATCAAACTCAAGTTGTGGCACAAACAGCACATTTGAATGGCAGTGTTGATTAACTCTGGGGGTGAGCCCCATCAAATATTTTATTGGGTGTGTGTGAAGGGACCTTGGCCCATAGGAGTTGGCTCCTATGGGCAGTGATAGGTTATGGGGTTAGTGTCAGCTTATGCAGTCAGGTGATATGAACAAGGTGCCTATTCCATACTCATGTCTTGTTTGAATAAAGGGGGGGGGTTCCTTCTCCAGAGTGAGGCATTCTGGGTAAGGTGACCTTGGAGAGTGCCTGCACTGTCACCACTTTTTGCAGTGGCTAGAAAGTATTTTTTTAAATGAGTTCAACATTTAAAGTTGCTAAAGTAAATTTAAACTTGTAACTAAACTTAAAATTGATCCCCCCAATTTGAATTTATAGCTGTCATGAAATGTACCCTTCTGAGCCTCCTTGTCCAGAATGTCTTGGCCTGAGAGTAGAGTGCCTAGATGTTATAAGGCATTGGGTATATATGATCGCAACACATGCTTTAATACTTGTACTGGGAAAGGGAATGCATGAAGCTCCTAAAAAATACTCCATGCCTGCTTAAATATCACAAACAGTTTCCTTAAACCTGCTATAAAACCAGCCAGTCATATAATGGATCCATATGGCTCTTGCTGATTGGAATGAAACTTCAGCCACTTAGTACATTTGCAAAGTGTTACATAGGAGATGCGTAAACACATTTCAGCAACAACAGGTAGGTAGCCCCTGGGTGTTTTTGTGTGTGTGTTTTTTGCCTAATTTCATTCGTGTGTGTGTTTGTGTGTGAGGTTAGTTTTGAGTTCTGAGCAAGAGGAAGGAAGGAGGAAGGAAAAGAAATACACAGAGAACAAATTCTATGATAAAGAGATCAGGAAAGGGGAGAAAACATAACTGAATGTAAACATATGTATTTTCTATGCACAATATCCCAACTGTACAAAAATAACTGTAAATAAATAGCTCCTATTTCCAAATCTAAATAAATTTGGCTTCACCAAACCAAAATAAATTCACCTACACTGGGGAATGTTATGGTGGTAGATGCACGCAACCAAATACTCAAATATCTCTCACACATGTTGTGGCCTTTGGTTCATTCTGGAACAAGTTACTTCAAAAGCAAAGAGAACAGTCTACTTTTACAATGAGAAGAAAATGTAAACAACAAAAAAGATTCCCATTTCCCTCTGGTTTGTGATTTGTCCATTTACCATCTGCATATCCATTTCAAATTATTTGGTTCTATATAGGGCTTGGATATTGTTAAAGCTAGCTGGAATTTAATACCTGAGGACTTAGTATGTTCCCAATGGCAATCTACTGTAGGAAAAGGTAATATATGGTTCACACAATTGATATCTAAAGGTCAACTACAAACTACTTATTTTCCTGGTTTTTATTTTATTTACTCAACCAAAGACTCGTGTTTCTTATTTATTATTTCCTTAAAGCTAAACAAGGGGATTGTGGCTCAGGTGGATGCAAATTGTTCAAATATTCTCTTGCCTTCAACATATGAGTAACAACAACAACAACAACAATTTTTCATGAATGATTTCAAATTGTGCTAATGCAAGATTCACTGCCCATATTTTACTGCTATACAAGGTGTGAAGTGAACATGGAATACCTACCCATGGTTGATGTTCTCCTAAAATTGGGATGTCTCCTAAAACAAATGAGGATGCAGTTGAATATGAAAATGCATATCCATGTCAACAAACCTTCATGAAAACCAGTAATCCACTAACACTTTTTTCAGACTTTGGTGTATTTTGGGAGATCTATGTGCAATTATTGTGAATATATCTCCTCCTAATTTTATCATCTAGAGTAGCAATTTATTCCTCCATGTCTAGCTCTCAGGGAAGTTTAGAAGAAATATAGAAGTTGTCAGCACATAAGAGTCAACACATTACTGCTGTACTGCAGCCATTTATAATGAAACCAAAATGAGCACTCACTTGTTTGGCATTAATTTAATGTCCCACTTAGCTCCTATCAGATGCAAATAGCTGCCTCATCCGTTTAAGGGTTTCTGAGCGTGCATATAATGAAGTGCTCTGTACCTGTCAAGTAAGCAGAATTCATAACCGAAATCAGAAATGGATGAGGAAATTCAGTGTCCTTGTTAAAAAAAAGAAATTGAAACTTCAGACATGGCAATGTCAAATTTATACTTCATGTTGATTTTCCGCTGCACGTTTCACCTATATTACCCCATGGGCTGAGCTTTCCAGGACAGAATGTCCAAGGATACATATAAATATACCACATTCCTAAACGCAAAGTCAGCAGGTGGCAAAGTAACAGCTGCAGTTGTCAAACACACTCAAAACAAAATAAATTGGTCAGCCAACCTCTTGTATTTAAGTCATTTTTACATCCTGTATTTTAGAGGGGGAAATAGTTTAATTTGAAACAGTATTCTAGTTATGATCAGTCTCCCCGGAGAAAGATTTTTATGAGTATAAATGGAGATAATGACTATCATTAGTCACTGCCATTAGCATAAAGCATTAGAAACTCTTATGCCATTCATAACAGACTTTGACATGACAGTAAAAATATGACTTCCTATCACTTCTGCATGCTTTCTGACTACAGCTGTTTGCTATTCTTGCACAGCTAAACTGATATCAAAAGGGTGGTAAGAGTGGTATTTAACAGCACCTTCATCATCACATCTAATTGTTTTCCACCACAGGGTGTGAAGCTTTATGTTCTCTATCAACCAAAAACAAACAGCCATCCTGCTTAATGGCTGCTCAATTAATGTTTATGGTGCTACTTTTATACCATGAGTTATTTGACAAATAAACTCCAAGAAGCAATTTAAGAACCTCTGAAGCTTAATGATAACCCAGCTGATATTTTAAAAAGAGCTAGGGGGGCGGGGGGGAGGAATCCGTAAACAATTTCTTACTTGCAGGCTCCCTATGATATTCACTCTCCACCTCCTGACATTTTGAGGGATGTTTGTTGGCCATCAGGGGATGGGCTTGCTTTTTTTTTACACCTTGTACCACCCTCCAGCCTTAGGAGCCCTCAGAAATAAACAACTGTGTGCAGTAAGAGCCTTCAGAGGGGAGCTATTTCCATAGCAAGAATTGTGAGCAGAGAGCACCTGTGATTTACCATCAGGGATGGTTGGTTTCACCTGTGTTGCCCCACCTTCCAGCTCTAGGAGCCATCAGAAGTGAGTTGCTTAATGGATAACTGGCCTGTTGGTAAGCTGCAGCCTTCCTTAGTGTTTTATGTGTATCTAATGAAATCTTCATTGGTAATTGCTGATCATTATTTTTTAGTGTTATGCTGCGGTAATATTATATCTTACTAGGCATTGTTTTGTTTTTATTGTGTGGCAGTGTTTAGACTTTGATTTTTGGGTGAACTGCTCTGAACACAGGTTCACTTGTGGGAAATGAGGTATATAAATAAATTGAGAATGGCAGTGGTTGTAGTATTAATTGTCAAAATGGAATGAAGATGAGATCTAGAGAGAGACAAAAGGTCTGCCTGTCTTCTTTATAGCCTTGCTTGAAATTATTGTTAAGTAAAATAGAGATGAGTTGGGCATCCCAAGTCACACAAAGGTGACACTAAGTTCACCACACTGCTGAGTCTTATCCCTGTGATGTCAAGTTGCCCTTTATAACATAGAGATGATCTATCCCTTATCATAATTCTTCCTCCATCTATGCGGAAGTGGTTACACTGATTAAAAATGAGAGTTCAAAGACAGACTTTCTGCTATTGCTTTGGTGCCTATTAATTAAACACCTTCTCTTTTGTATGAAGCCCTAGTAGGCTGTGTAAAATTAACATAAATAATATGCTTTCAATGAAGAGGTGCCACTGCAGGTTCTGAACGCAAATGATTTCGAGCCGCTGTTGTTAACTGCATATAGCAGTAATATATTCATCCAAGATTTTTTCATTCCGTCTTCCTGATCTCTAGTTTCTAATGATATATTACAAGCCAGCGCCAAGGCAATTAATCATTAATATTCTTGTGTACCCCAAAGTAACTGGACAAAATTAGACAAGAAAAGAACCAGACTTGAAGGCTGACAAAAAATTCTTATCGGAAATTACATGTATTTTTATATCATTAATGCTCCTTGATAGACACACAGTAAATCTGCTTTAATGGCACCACTATAATAATATAGTAGTCTTTCTTCCTAATCTCCTAGAGACACCAATAGATCACAGGGTCTGTTCCTCAACAGAGACAAATGAGTTGGCGTGTTTTAAAAGCTGTCAGGCCTTTCTGACAACTTCCATCTGAGAAGGCGGCAGAGCAATGACAAAGTTATCACCTGACTGGCTGATGTTTGATGCTGACTGCCTTTGATTAAGAGGCAATGAGCCATTTTGGAGTTCATTTTGCTGCTCCTAAGCACCTCTTCATCGAAAATTATGCAGTTGGACTGATTTGTATTTGATTAGTTTAACATCACAGTTTTATTACGTGTAATAAATAAAGTCAGATTTTATGGGGTTGCTGCACATTAAAAGAACCATTGAGGAGGGTGCAAAACATATTTTTATTTCCTGGGTTATTTGCCTGACATTTAAAAAACCCCACCCTATATGCATGTCATATTTAAGCAATGTCACTGCTTATACACTGGTTGCTTTCATAGGCTGGTATTTTACTACTTTTCTTGTACGTATAGTGAAAGCACAATGCTGTTCGCATTCCAAAACAGGCTTAAAGAAATTTTAACCACAAAAGCAAATTCAGCCCACCTTACTTGTATTGTGGCCTGCTGGAGGGTGGGGAACTTCACCTGTTGTTTGCAATGCTAGACAGGCAATAAAAACAGGGAGTTTACGAAGGGGGGGGGGGGAGCTGCCATGCATGGCTGATGGATTTTTGCTGGCAATGTAGTCCACACAGTCAGCAAACTGATATCTGTGTTAAGAAACAAGTCACTTGTAAATATGGTGGTGCCCCTGTATATAAACTGCCCTGTATTCAGAAGTGAATGGATCAACTTACTAATTCTTCCCACATCGCACTGTGCAAAAAGTCCCAGCTCTGGTAGAGGACAAATCCCAGGCTGAATCCCTGGCATTCCTCCTCTTAAAGAATTCCGAGTAGCAGGCTGGGATAAACTTCTGCCTCAAACCTCAAAGAAGCCACTGGCTTATCAGAGTATGCAATAATGGGCCCAGCAGGTTACTTAGCAGTCTTACTTAGTATAATGTTGTTGCTTATACTTTAATTTTCAGTGGTACCTCGGGTTAAGTACTTAATTCGTTCCAGAGGTCCGTTCTTAACCTGAAACTGTTCTTAACCTGAAGCACCACTTTAGCTAATGGGGCCTCCAGCTGCTGCTGCGCCGCCAGAGCACGATTTCTGTTCTCATCCTGAAGCAAAGTTCTTAACCTGAGGTACTATTTCTGGGTTAGCGGAGTCTGTAACCTGAAGCGTATGTAACCCGAGGTACCACTGTACATTCAATGTGTGCATTGTTCAGTCTTTGTTTTCAGTAGTTTATCTATATAAATGAACAGGTGCACACTCTTCCTCACAAACACTTGTACATGTGTAGAGAGAAAGCGTGTACCTGGGTTCAGTGTAATATGTGAAGGAACCTGAAGCGTATGTAACCCGAGGTACCACTGTATTGTGTATTCAAACTGAAATAGAGGTCGCATCTTTATAATAATACACAATCTGCAATGAAGGTTTCAAATGAAAGAAGATTTGTCATGGCATGCTTGGAAGCCAAGTGCTTTCCCTAGAATGAAGTAGCTTATGTTTGATTAGATGAAAAACACAATCATTGCTAATTTTAACAGATATAGCTCCTGATCTGAACATGGCTGTGCAGAATCTGTCTCCATTAAACAGTTCTTCTGAGCTATACCTTATTATGTTTGTTTTCTTGTTGGAGAAAAGCAAATAACTTTCCTTCTCTTAAGCTTCTAGTTAATGCATGTTAAACCACATGACAGCACTGTAGCCAGCACTTGCTTATAGATTCTGTAACTTAAGCCCACCCCTAAAAGCTGAGCCATTTTGTTTGTTGTTCTTTCCCAATTTGTTGTGACAAGATGTTTCTTATCTCCTTTCATCCTTTAAATAGAGATCCTGCATGAATAAAGCCTTTGAACTCCAGAAACTGTTATTACTTCCATCTAATTCACCCAAGCTGCAAGATCTGCTATCAGTTCTTTGTATAACTGAACAAAGCTAGATGCTGTTGTAAGGTAAGAACAAATGTTTTATTGCATTTTAATATGAGAGCCTTCCATCTTGGTTACCCTTCCAGCTTGTTTTGTTCCATTCCATCTCGACAGCTGCTGCCCAGTAAGCTCGTCCTCAAACTCAGAACTTCAAAAATAATAAAGGGAGTTCTACTGGAAATCTATGACAGCACTGAACAAAACTTGTAGAGAGGCACCACAAGCACAATAGAAGGCATGTACTCCAAACTCTCCTTACTGTCCCTATTATCCTTAGGGAACTAGCAAAATGCCTAGAATAACAACAGGTGTATATGTGTGGAGGGAGGGTATTTATAGTGTAAGGATAACTAGGAGGAGGAGGAGGAGGTCTCTGTGTATTTGCTGTCACTGTGTGAGGATAGGGAAGCCACCTAATTTCATTAGTGCAAGTGTCCCTGGTATTTTACCCCATTTCATTGTGCAAGTGTCCCTGGTATTTTAGCCCATTAAAGTGAACTGCAATTATTTGCTTGTGAAGGAGACATTAAAGGATCCCAAAGTCCTGGTGCCTAAGACAAGGGTTTGAAGTGAGGGACAGGCACAATCTTTATTCAACTGTATGCTGTACTGTAACATTCTATTCAGAAACTTAACTGGAGCTATAGAGCAAAGCCTGCTCCTGATAGCAGGCTCCCCTCAACCTTTCATCTACGTAGAACTATCTTTTTATCTGTTTCTTTGTCACAATAGAGGGTGAAGGGACATTGGAAATTAATGTTTAGGCATATAGCTAAAGTGTGTTCATAGAGAACACTTCTATTGAGGGCCTGTTCAGAGATTTACTGCAGAAGCTACAATACACACACCTCTCAGTTCCTCCACCACTATAATGCTTCCATTCACTTTGAAAGAGAACTTGGATCTGTCCAGCTCCGTTGATGTGAAATTGAGAAACAGATTTGGTGGGCATTGTATGAAACTTGTTCTAGATAACGGTGGGTTTCCTACTTCATAGCACAACATGGTATTCAGATTATGCAATGTACGGTACTACAAAAAAAGTAATTTTTATTTTACAAAAATAATTATCATAGCACTAAAGTGATATTTTGGGAGTAAATGCAGATTTGATCTGCCTGTCTAGCATGGAATATAGCATTTTGTTTTCTGAAAGAAATCCTATTGTTCTAGTATCATACTTACAGAGAAAATGAAGTTGATTTTAAGCACTATGGCAGCCTAGAGAGAAAACAAAACCACAGTCTCTCTCACCACATCCTATATGGTGTTCCGAATTCTGGCAGCCCCACTTTTCCAATGTCTCTTGGACACTAAGCTTGATAAATTTCAATTATTATTTTTTTCATTTCTGCAGCCTCTCTCAGTAAACTCTTTGAAAACACGTCTGAAGCTTCCTTTATTGAGAATTTGAGTTAGAATTCTTAAAACTTTTCTCAAAAATTCCTAGAGAGGCTTTAGCTAATGTCTGTCTGATATCATGGACTGGATAACTTGACCCTTGACTTGGGTCTGACAACCCATTTCACTGTTTCATGGCTTGTTGGATTTTATTGGACTTGCTATGAATTTTTGCACTCTGCCCTATGGTTCTGCGCATGAATGAAATAGCAAAAGAACACAATGAGGTTCAATCTAAAAGCACAAAGCCAGCACCCAAAAGAGCAGGATGTATTTTAATATGAATAATTCAAATGCAGTCCTATTCTCTTACTTGGGAGTAGCATCAATTGTACTCAGTGGTTATTACTTCTGAGTAGACATATTTAGTACCATTGCTTACAAATTAAGTTTACATTGCTGGAAAATTAGGTTGTAGTAGCTTGCTTCTACTTCATTGATCACCTCTGATGTTAGCTTTTTATTTTAATGTGTTTTTAATAAAGTCTAAATCAAAAGACAAATAGTGTTGCATTAGAAGGGGAGTATTGACGAAAATATATCTGGACATTTGTATTTCCATTCTGCAGAGTGTACTTTGGAAAAGAAAAGAAAACATTTAAGTGCAAGTTGAGTTCTAAGCATTGCAAAGAGGAGGGAGATGAGAGCTCATCTAATTGAGATTCTCTCAGCACCCAGAAGTATTCTGGGCTTGAAAGACAAGAGATATTTCTTGGTGTTTTGAATATGTCTTACTGTTCTGTTCCAGAACCTTTTGTAGGCTTGGACATGCCCATCAGCAGTGAAAAGGTGATCCCACTTTCCAGAAATGATTGTAGGATGAGTGAGGGTTTTTTGCAGGGATAGATGCCAGTAGAAGATTAATTAAAAGTACAGCTTACTGATGTTAAGTGCTGAGGAACTGAATGGCTCAGTAATGAGGGTTTATATAATTCCAGTTTGCATAACATTTTGATGCTATAATAATGCTTTCTCAGTAAGAGAGGCTATGAAAAGTGCACAGGTAATATAAATCACATAAGAAACTCAACCTGAATTTCAATCTTATTCCTACTGAGGGCTAGTTCATATGTTACTTTAACTGTAAACCACACAGAAGCTCAAGTACCTCATATTCCAGATTCCCCTCAATTACAGTAATGCTAATTTAAGTGCATTAGAATTAGAATCAAGTGGTACTCATGATCTGGCAAACCGCACAATTAATACAATGTGTGAACCCCCTCTTACATAATAATTTCCAGAGGGGTAGCTATGTTAGGCTGTTACAGCAAAAGCAACAGGTAGTGTTGCAGTATGGTAAAGACTTGCCAGATCAATTTGTTGGTCCTTAAGATGGTATTTAGGAATGCGGGTGGCGCTGTGGTCTAAACCACTGAGCCTAGGGCTTGCCAATCGGAAGGTCGGCAGTTCGAATCCCCGCGAAGGGGTGAGCTCCCATTGCTCTGTCCCAGCTCCTGCCAACCTAACAGTTCGAAAGCACATCAAAGTGCAAGTAGATAAATAGGTACCGCTCCAGCGGGAAGGTAAACAGTGTTTCTGTGTGCTGCTCTGGTTTCGCCAAAAGTGGCTTAGTCATGCTGGCCAAATGACCTGGAAAAACTGTCTGCGGACAAATGCTGGCTCCCTCGGCCAGTAAAGTGAGATGAGCACCGCAACCCCAGAGTCGTTTGCAACTGGACTTAACTGTCAGGGGTCCTTTACCTTTTTTAAGATGGCATGTTTATTTCTTAGCTAATAGGCATTCTGTTGTGATGATGGATTGGTAGGTAAGATGTACACCAAAAATTGCTCGGGGCTCTCATATTTACACTCAAGTCATATAGGTTCAGAATAGACTTCCACTTGAGCAGTGGATTTCTGTTCATACAATGGGACCTGCCCTTCCTCATCTTTTCCCTGTAACCCCCACACACTCTCAAACCCTGTTCTGAAGTGTTCAGGGACACTAGAGAGTTGATTTTAGGGGTTCAGGGGGAGGAGAGGATACCTTACATGCTGGCATTTGCCCACTTGGAATGTAATTCTTGAGTGTGGAATACAGGGCACCCGTGATCAATGCTGACTCACCACACAGTAATTGATGGTAAGGAATAAAATGATAGTTTCAGCTACTGCACTGCAATTCAATTATGCAATGTGTGAACATGATCTCAGAAGTCTTGTTTACTGTGCATTATCTTTGTTTTGTTTCATATGCTGGCAGATGATTTTATCAATACCATCTGTATTGCACACAGATGTGCTCCATTATTTTTCTAGTTATTTGTTGTTTCTATCATTAAGTACTTGTTCACCAAGGGCAATAACTGTAGTTTCATATCGCAGATGCAAAAATATAATGTCATAAAGATATGCCATCTAGTAAGGGATTAAGGATTCCTTTAGGAGGCACCAACATGCAATATTCTTTGGTCAGTGTTCAAGCTATAAAATTGGCTTGCCCTACACCTCTCTGATTCATCTGGCCAAACATTTGCATGACTGCTTATATGCACGAGTTACTATTATCCACTGAGAATATAATTCGTGAGTAAGCAGATGTTCTTCCTGCTATATAATGAGACTTGTGGAGTCTTGCTTGATTAGTATAAAAGATAGGAGTATCACCAGCAAACGAAAGGAATGAGTCTCCTTGACAATACAATCCCCGAACACTGCAGATATGATAAAGACTTATATTGTTATAAGAGATGATCACAGTTAATTGCCATAGTGTATATGGGGTAGAGGTAGCCTAAAAATTAAGGTAATGACATACAAGTGTCTTGTGCTTCCTTGCCCCATGCTTTCCTGCCTTCTGTAAAGTAGCATTGGAGATGCATATTCTTCCTGTTATGCATCTGAGCTTGGATTAACTCATGCTTTTTTTTTTAATGCACACAACATCCTGAATGTTGTGATGCCTGTCAATCTCCAAGACATTAACTTATAACAAATATGTGTGTAATAGTATCTCATAAGCTCCATCTTATCCGGTTTTGTAAGCTCTTAATTGGTGTACTCTTAGTGGCTTAGATTTTCCTGCACAGAAGGGTACTTTCTTCTGCTGAGTTACCAGTTATCATGTTAAGAATCATTGTTATCTGGATGAGAGATGTCGATGTTTGATATCATTATAATTGAATCACATGATTTGCCTCTGGCACTGGAGGTGTGAATATCTGATATGGTTATTCATATGGGAAGCTTTGGGTTGAAATTTGAGGAATATTAGGGAGATTTGTGAAGGAACTTGACTAATGCTTTCCTAACAGCCACATGGAGTTGTTGGAACGATCTCAAAGAATGAGGTGTCCAGAAACATGTGGCTAATGCTATCTTCAATTCCTTGAAACGTGGTTTAAAGATAGGGATTTGGAACCTGTATATCTACTAGCTCTGATTATTAGCACCAACTAAGCCAAGTAGCAAAGTAATAACATAGCTTATATACCGTAATTCAGTATTTCGTTTTCTTTTAATGCTATGACTTGAATGCTCTCCCTTATTAAGAATGCTCTGTTGAACTGCACATGATTTTTACTGAGGTTTAAGATGGATGGACTATGTTTCTTGCAAGGTGCCATATTGCTAGATAATCCAAGGAGAAGCTGGAATTCAAGGTGGCTTCCCCTTAATGTCTCAGGTAATCAAGAAGCTCTTCCCAAAGCTTATGCTTGTTTCAGATGTTTCAGCAGAGGTTAGGGTAAACTAGGGAAGACCATCATGTCCCTAGCTTGGATTATAAATACCAGTAAATCATTCCAGTTGTCTATAAATTATATTTGCTAGCAGATTAAGACTCTGAACAGGCTTAGACTGAGGGCTAACTAGATGGGACATTGGAGACTCATGTCTTTTCCCCCTTTGTTGTTGTTTGCTTCTCTTCCCCACTTGCATATAAAGCAGAGTGTGTAGACCTACATTTGGGGGGCCCTGAAGCTTGAACTGTTATGGAGGCCTCTTCACAACCAGCCATGAGCTCTGGATAACCACATTCATCTTTTTCAGTGGGATTGTTCCACGACAGATCACCACAAATTTTCCATTAGTTTGTGTTTTTGGTATCCACTTAAGTACTTTTATGAACACATTGTTACTCCTTGAGGGTCATGACCCCTGCTAAAAAGTGGGGGAAATTCAGAACAGCCATCTTGCCACAACACTCCACCATTACAACATATATGCTACTGACTCTCAAACATTGGGATTGTTGAAATATGTACAACAAAAATATCTATTTAAGTTGTGGAAAAACTAACCATGGGAATGTAAGATGAGGGGGCAGGCCAATGTTTGGTGTTCCTTTCCTGTGAGCTCCTATTATTTATAATGTTATTTTTAACCTTGAGGAATTTTCAGCAAATTCCAGTAAGAACTGGTTTGATCCACACCTCTTGGAATAATGTGTGGAGTGGAAAGCAGTTCTCCCTCGGATTCTACACTTCTCCAAATGTGGCAATATAGTTCTCTGCTCAGAAACATGCCAAAATGCACAGCCTCAGGTTAATATGCTCAGATATGCATGCCTTGAGAGAAAATATATAGATTTTTGGTGTGTGTTTTTTTAGCAAATGTGTTAAAAGATAGAGAGTGTTCTCAGTAGTAGCACTGCAATTTTGGCATGCCCTCCCTTCTCATATTCAATCAGTGCTGACCCTGGTGGGTTTTAGGCACCTTTTAAGGACACATGCATTTACTCAGGCAGTTGGTTAATTTAGCTGGAAGGAAGGGGGAGTCATTTGTTTGTGATTCATTTGTTTGTGATTGTTTTGATTAGTTTTTTGATGGTTTTCCTTGTTGAATATGTATTAAGAGTTACCTGTTGTAACCTGCTGTGGGATTGATTTTAATAAAGAGTGGGCTAAAAGTGCCTGACATGAATATACTTACTGTTTTTCATCCACACTAAGATTATTATTTAAATATCTAGATTATTGTGGAAATAGGATGGAATGGGTTTTTGAATCAATACACGCCAAACTTGACACACTCTTGTCACTTGTAAATGGTATCCCAAAGGAACGCCAATATTGAGGCATGGCTTTTGACCACTTGAGTTTGTTCTATCTGTATGTCCAATGTGCAGGTTTAAAACTGAACTCTAAATCTGTGATTACAAAATAGTCTTTACTAAAACAGAGTAAAACATAATGTAATATTCTTCTGATTACATGTTTACATTGTGCCTTCTCATATGGTGATTAAACATCCTTAGAAAGTGTCAAACAGGATTTTGAAAACAACCACTTTAAAACACTATTAGCAAACCATCTTATCAGGGCTCATCATTTGAATGAGAATGTCCTTGGCTATATTTGGCAGCTAGCATGTGTCAAAGAATGTTCTCCCATATGTAAAGCATAACAAAAGTGGGGTGGGAACCCTTCTAATTGGTTTATCCATTTGACAAGGGAAGGTTATTGGAAAGGTCAAGGAAAAATCCCCAAACATGACAAGCTACAGGTAATAGGAAATAAAATATTTATAAATGAAAATGCAAATTCCAGAATCTATACAGTACTTAATTACCTGTTTCTTCCAATCTATTCCTAAATGCATTTATCAGAAATCAGTCTCTCTGTAACCAGTGAAAACTGGCATAATCAGGATGTGTTAGACCTCAGTTTACCTCCCACTAATGCTAGAGATTCCTATTGAGTCTGATTCAGACATGCATGTACATCACCCTGTTTCAATAAGGGCAGCAGGAGAAGGTGGTAGACACAGAACACTAAAATGTTAAAGGTGGAGGAAATACAATTTTGAATGCTTCCCTATGTTTCTTACTGAATCATAGCTGCATGGCAGGAGGGAACCAACAACCCAAGGTCTACTTCAGGAAACAAAACACACAATATATAAAACCATGGTCAAGATTTCTGTAGGTCTTACGTAGCCTTGCATTAAAATTATTGTGAACTGCTCTGACCATATATTTGTATGGCAGGTGGTATAACACCATAAACAAACCAACAATAAAATGGGAATCCTCCTCTAATTCCCTTAGAGGCCTATTTAAATATTCAAATGGTTTCATAAGACAATAACCATCCTCTGACAGGACATAAAGTATCTTGGCAACTTCGTTCTGGATAGGTAAGGTTTTGATGTCCAATCAACTTTTCACTCCATTTGATATCTTAGTGCATGAATGCGTGCTGTATATTTTGCTTGCTTAGGTCTAAAATTGGCCTTTGTTCTATAAACCTCCGTTGTGATTTACAGATTAAAGAGCCAAAGCCAGAAAGTGCCTTCATGCTTTCTGAATCTGAAGCATGGTGCTTTCCTCATGACAAGATTAAATGTTAGATGCCAAAGGTGATTTAGTTTTTCTTTGCTACAAGCAGTAAATGGGCCCTTTTCACAAGATTTGTGTAACCAAAATAAACCTTCAAACTAATAAATACCAAGGATTATGAATTGAATTGGAATTGCTGTAATTTTCCCCCCACCTTTATGAAAGTGAGCTTTCTTGTACACACACACATACTTATACATACTTTAATACAATCACAGTAAGTTGCACAGCAAAGTGGGAAGACCATAATACTTAACAAGATTGGAAACTACATTCCATAATATATCTAACACGGAGTGTGGAACCAAATGGTGCAAATGTCCCAGAAGGCCTGTAAATGCCATATTGGTAGTCAAGATAACCCAGGGGACTAACTGGTGTGAGCTGTAAAATGAGATCATATTTGCTTATCTGCTTACCTTGAAGCCTGAGTTTTGGTTTAGTTGGTTGGGAGAGGGAAGGCTTCTTACACTGTCAGCTACTCCCTTATCTGAGAGATGGGAGAGTTGGAAAGGGGCCTCTAAGCCAGGGGTGAGTTAACTGGGCTATGGTTGCCAGTTTATGTAGCTTGCTTTTTGTATAAATAACGCTTAACATATTTCAGCATCCATCCTGTGTCTGTAACAGCAGCAAGGCTTTGCAGGGTTTTATAAGCTTGCACTTTCTTCTAATAAAGCACTGGAACTGATCACTGCGGCATTTTTGGCATCCTTGCATCAAACCACTCACGCCTCTGGGCCTGTGGATCAGGACACACAGTAAAGTTTCAGTGCAATTAGGGCAGTGAACCCACCAGTTGAGTAACTGAGTTGCTTTTAGTTAAGGTCTCAACTATTTAATGGTTTAAATAAATTGGGTGTTATGTTGGAGCCATTTAAGAAAGATGGAAAATAATTGGTTTGGGAAATCATCTCAAATGCCTTGGCTTAATCAACTTTGTGTACAGCAGTGCCACCAAACCCAATTTACTGATGAATAATTTCAATCCTCATTCTGAAATATTTATATAGGCAACAAGCAAATTGGTAAAAGTTTTTAAACCTTAATGAAATTCCACATTCTTCTAGGCAGGAAGGCTGTCCTACCTTGCTTCGTTCCTTGTAATGCGTTAAATGTCAGCTCTTTGTTTAGAACACAGACCATTCCAAAGCCCATGCACTGGAAACAATAATGATCCTATGAATGAAATGAGACAATAACTCAGTGAATGTTAGGTACAAAAGAGATTAAAGTACCTGTTACATTACTTCCTTGTCTCAGCTATAAATAAGCTTCTGATAATCATGATTGACTTCGGCCTTGTCAACATATTTATTAGACTTATGTCCTGCTCCTCTTCCATAAAACCAAGAGCACTTTATATGTGAGCTCCAGGTTCTTCCATCCAACCACCTTACAAAGCCAGCTTAGTTTGAGCAGTAGAGCAATGCCATATATCACAGTAGTCAACATGGTGTCATCCTGATGTTTCGGACTGCATCTCCCATCAGCACTAGCCAACACCACCAATGCTCAAGGATAATGGGAACTGTAGTCCACCACATACTTTACATATGCCTTTGGACTTTGGGGGGTCCACATTTTCTTGGAACACAGCTACAAACTCTACTTTTACCTCCTAGACTTCTTCCCAGCCTACAGCAATGTACATGCCATCAGTTAAGGGGAACATTGTTCCCAGACATGAACAAGACTTGGGCAAATGAATTCCTGCAAATATGCTTGTTTGGGGGAGGAAATGCCCAGGACATCCTGAGAAACATTTAGCAAAAGTTGTTAGTTTTTTAACACGTGGCCCTGCCAGAAATATAGGAGCTGGCACCCACCAGTTGAGCAGGAGAGAGAGACGCTGCACTTATGATGGGAGGAGGACCAGAAGCAGCAAAAGGGAAAGAAAACACATTTATGAGCTGCTTGGTAATGTTGGTACTTGAAGTGAAGTCATCATTCTTGAGGTAATAGAATACTTTTAAAAGTTGTAGCCAGTGCTTTTTTTCTTTAAAAAAATGTTTAGGGGTACTCTCATTTTCCTACTCATATTGAAAAACTGCCCCTCAATGAGGCCAAACTCAGATTCACGAAATGTTTAGGGGTATGCATACCCCTGCGTACACCCAGATAAAAAGCACTGGTTGTAGCTTACTTTTCCTCACAACAAGCCTGTATTATTGCTTAATTGAGAAACAATGCCATCAGTCCTTGACTGAGTGCAGAACAGACACTATTCAAGAAGCTAGATGCTGCGATTTGTCCTATGAAGCTGGTCATGTTGTATTTGCTTTAAGTCAAAACAACGGTTTCAAACTGCGCTCCTGGGAACCCTTTGTTTTCTCAGAAGCTTCTAAGAGATCAGTTGTGCAAGCTTGTCCACCACTATTAGTCTGCAAATCGTTAGATGTATTCTCAGTTTAAGTACAGCAATGACAATACCCACCTGATTTGTCAGGGATTTGTGTAAATTGTCTGTGCAGCCCAGAAAACAACCTAGAATCTTCTGCAATAAACTAAGGTTCTATAGTAGATGTAAAAAGATTTTTCAACCATGGAAGCTATGAGAAAAGAAAAGTCCTGGAAGAAGAAGAAAACCACTGTCTAAACCAGGGGTGGAATCTTCAGGTGTTGCTGGTAGCTTAGCCACAGTTTGCATGGCCAATAGTCAGGGGTGATGGGAGTTGTAGTCCAACAGTATCTGCAGGCCACAAGTTCCCCATCCCTGCTGTAAAGCTAGGACCTGGACCACTCTTTCTGAAGTTAACTTCCTATAATGGTCAATCTGAAAATCACCATCTATTAACTCAGTGCTCATGATGTGAGCTTGGATGAGACTCTTTACGACTAAGCCATGAATTGGGGAAAAACCAAAAACAATAGCCCCACTTTCACGAGAGATATTCTGTAAAGTTGACTTCTATTGTTATTGCAAGGCCATGTGTTATTTAGAAATCTTTATGCACAAACCTTCGTGTTGAAGTAATAATCTTCCTAATTTACTGCAGTACAGCAAAGTTTCAGTTCTACAAGGTTCTAGTAATCCAAACTTTGCCCTCAGGTATATTAGGAGGAAGAGGAAGAAAGACTCTAAGTTCGACACCTTTCCTAGGCCAATTCCAGTGTAATTTTTCCTCACTGGAGGAATACCTGTGGAGGAACACATGTACAAAAAGTCACGCCAGGAATGCAAAATCTGTCAGTAGGTATAGGGGACCAATCAGTTCTCCTGGCATGAACTGGTATCATGCCAATTTGAGATGAATTCACCTGCAAAGTGGAATAAAGAGGAATCAAAAAGATGAAAGAGAGCTATTGCGATGATTCTGCCACACATAAATCTAACACAAAAATGAACAAACATAACCAATAATAAAATCCACAAACCTGTCTGTGTTCTGGGGGAAAAAATGTATATTTAATGCATTTCTGCTCACAATGGACAGTTTATTTACAAAAATTATATGATGGTTTTTTTAATAAAGGGCTCCTGCTTTTAAAAGAAAAGAATTCAATGCATCATGTTCACAATTACTGTAAACATTGTTAGAAATTGTTTACTGGGCAGTTCGACACACAACTCAACACTTGCTTCTGTTTCTCTCCCCCCCCCCAAACCACAGCTTTTTCTTGTCAAGCAGAAGTGTACTGTGGCACATATTAGAGACTATCAGTATTTTATACGTCAGTGCACATTTGCAGCATGATCCTGACCATCTTTACTCGGAAGTAAATCCCACTGTGTCCAATGGGACTTATTTCCAGTTAAGTGTGCACAGGACTGTGGTGTTGGGGAACTGAAAAAACCGAAAACAAATGGTTATTTACGGGCAACAGTTCCAGGGATTGAAAAGAAGAAGAAAAACCAATTACCCTGAGGTGTGTGTGTGCATGTGCAGATGAAGAACTGTATTTATTGCTTACCTGAGCACTACGTAACTGTGCTGGTTTGCTGTCCACTGTGTTTGGATCCCTGAAACAGTGAGACAGAACATTCAGTGTGACAGCTGTACAGCTAGCTAAGTCAACTTCAATAAACACAAAAGAATCAACTGACAAGACATATGTTTCAAAGACTACTCAAGAAAGTTAGCATGCAACTCCAGCTGCAAGAGATTTTTTTTTTTAACAAAATGAACAGCAACCGGCCTATGTTCTGTTCTCATCAAAAAAGTAAACCAATCACATTGACAAAAAGCCACCAGAAACAAAAAATTGTAGTTAAAAGATTTCACAGTTTTGGTATCCCTACTATAAAGTCTTCCTTTTTTGTCATAAAAAATTTAGGTTATATATTCACCGTTAGCAAGAGTTGCATTACTATTATTGTTAATTTTAGTTCTGTTTATTGCCTCGAGGGTTATATATTGTAAAATAATTTTGTTGCCGCTAGTTAATGTTAATTAGTTGTTTTAATAGCCTATAATACCTATTTGTTATGTTTTGGCAGGTTTACTTTTTTAACTATCAGTAACTTAATCACTTGGAATATTTAACATTGCTGTTGCATACTCAAAATTACAGAGTTACTATTAATGTTACCTGTTTAACGTTTAGTCATCCTTTGAGTCCTGCGACATATTTCCTTAATAATCATCAGCCATCAAGTCTGATATTCTCAAAAGAAATAACAGCCCTCTAAACTGCCTTCAAGGGAGGTGATAATTAGCACTGAAAATTACAAATAAAGTTTTTGAAGTTGAAGAGCAACAACTGGGCAGTGACACTGATGATTGGTTTGTCAAGACAAATTATTAGATAACTACGCAAATGCAGTCAACACACTCCTCGGAGTGAAAACAATAAGGTGAGTCTATGCAATGCTTACATGTTGAATGGGATATTTAATGTGCGGGGAAACTCAAAGGTTGAAGAACTAGCATTTAGACAGTCTAACACTGGTAAGCCGTAATCTTACCTCTTTAAACTCCATTACATTCTCACGAGAGACATGCTAATACAAACAAGTCAATCAGAGTGTGTGTTTAGCAAGATCAAGCTTAGAGGATCGTTTAAAAATCCATTTATTGTTCTAAAGCCACCTCTTTTTCCTCTCTCATTAACATGTTATACATTAGTCTCTGCTATCCATGATTCATGTCACAGTTTAGTTTGCTAGCTTTTAAATTATTTAACAACCATAAGCTATTAATACAACTTTTAAAGTGTTGCACATATTCTTAAAACAAACTTGGGTTCATTTATGTATTTTGTTTTTGAAAAAAAGTTTTTATATCGAAAACATTTTAGGCATCTCTTGAAGAAGAAATCAAGCAGGCATTTAAAGCTAAACACACGTAATTCCAAATTTAGTTTCTTACAAAAGGTTTCAGCTTTATTGACAAATTATGGCAAACATATTTGACAAAATTATGGTTTCCTATTTAGAGAAGCTTTACACATGGAACTTTATGTGATTTTTTAAAAATAAAAAAGCAAAACAAATACAGGTTAAAACACTGGACAAATTCAGTTAGCTACATACATACAGTAGCCGCTTGTTGTCAACCCCATTAAAACAGCATTTAAAATGAAAATTACAAACTTAATATTGAACATCTTAAATCTAACTAACATATATTAAAAAGACAGGTTAAAACATCTTATCTACATCTTGATTATCATCTGGTTCAAAAAAGTCATATTACATTTTTAGCAACCCTAAATAAAAAAATTGACCTTAGTAGTACCGGGCAGGGGGGAGGGGTGTGGAGGGGAATAGATGCAGCTTCATGCTTATTTGTCCTGTTTTGCTTTAAAATTACACACAACAATGAGGAACAACCAAGAAAACATCATCTTGCTGAATGGTTTAGCCAATGCTTGCCAACGGTCTTTTATAGTCCATGTTATAAAATAGTACTAATGCCAGTGTCACTCCATTGTGTAAACACAAGAAGTATATAGAGTAATCATAAGCAGTAATTCCTAGGATAGAAAAGAAATGGGCTATTACTTGTCTTGTTGCCGTTTATGTGGAGATCACGGGTTATTAATTGTCTTTAAGGTTGAGGTCACAGATGAGGAGGACCTTCAATATCTACCATAGGGGTGTTCCCTGTAACCCCCTCTGGTTGACCTGGAAGGTGGTGCCTTTAGGCTGGGACGGCTTATGGCCCACTCTTCTTGTGCTAAAACAGACAAAATAAGAAGAAAGAATTTACTTTATTTTAGTAGGCACGTATGTGTGTAAAAGATTGAGCTGCTCCCCGTTGTGCATTTAGCAAACAAAATATAAGGACAGCTTTGGGATCCATTTCTGTGTCCTCTCTAAAATCACACTTATAAGATTTCGCTGCCAGCCAAGGCAGCTTTCAGTAAAGAGCAACAGACCTCTTTCCCTTATTTGATGCAAGATATGAATATCCAATTTACTGGTAATACAATCAGTCATAAGAAAACGGTTGCTTTAAGTTGGCCTGCTCTCCAAACCCCGTGCCATAACTGAGTTTCTAACATGCTATGCTAAAGCATGAAGGTGGATATTGTTTTCTGCAGCTGGTACATTAACTGGATCAGGAGTTGAATCAAAAGTGGGTAATTGAAATGTGTTTTCTGCTTCCATATTCAACTAAAAAAATAAAACAGTAGAATGGAAACTACTTGGAACTAAAATAGCGTTAAGACAGAATTTTCCAGAGTGTGCAGATAATTCTCAATATACATGAAATATTAGTTTACACACACACACACACACACACACACACACACACACACATTAATCACCCAATAACAATAATGTATTGATACACTGTATTAGTTGGAGTCTTAAGTGAACTCATGGTCACTTTTCTGAATTACACCAGTATGTGATATTCTCAGTTTAGCTCTGTGTAGTGGTGGATGAGTAATTTTCATCAGCTCATTGGCTTACTGAAGCCAATGTTCAGGCCCTGTAATGCAAACATCTCTGCTGATTTCCACCACCCCACACACCCTGCCCATGCCCCACAGCAACCAGGCACTTTCTGTCCTGAAACCAGATTGACAGCTAGCCTGGATGGGACCCAAATAATCAGTATCCTCCAAGGCAGTCTGGATGACATTCTAAATCATGCAGATAAATTCTTACATTCAAAGGGCTAGGACAATGTTTCCCAAAGTGGCTGATACTGCCCCCTGGGGGATGCTGGAACAATCCAGGGGGTGGTAGTCACCTTGGGTGCAATTGGGAGGCGTTGAATAAAAATAAGGGGCGCTGGAAGCATAAAGGAAGTATTTTTTTTAAAAAAAACACACCATTCATACCTGTTTCATCTGTTGTGCAATAATCTGGCATTTGTGCTGGAGGTGAGGGTTTTCCCCGGGCTTGGGTAAACCCTTTTAGGCTTCACCCAGGCCCAGGAAATGGATCGCAGCTTGCCTAGCTTATTTGGCCAATGGCAGGCAGGCTTTGGTGCTAGCCCCGCCCCTGGGGCAGATCAGACTTAGCCAGCAAGGCTTCACTTGGGTCTGCCCCATGGGTTTTTAATCCCAGGGCCAAGTCCACCTCCTCGTCCAGTTTTGAAAAACATTTGTACATATTTCATCTGTTGTGTAATGACGCTTACCTATGCGACAGTTATAATCATAGTGATTACTTTATTGTCCAAATTTGTCACTACATCTTTCTGTTTTTTCACTTAAAGAAGGTAGGTTTCCAGGTAATTTTTTTTTTTTCTGCAAAAGGGGCGGTAGGCCAAATAAATTAGGAGACCTCTAGGCTATGATATAACTTGGGAGTATTATTATTTATTTATTTCCCCCGGAGCCAACTATCAGGTACTGGGTCATTTCAGTCCTAAGCTCTGTGCTTTAAACTATGTCTCTTTAAAATTTTCCTGAGATATTAGTACTGTGCATTATATATAAAGAGCAAGTGTAAGCTTAGCAGTTAATGAAGTGGGGTGAGTGGGTTGTTGTTTAATTTTAGGCCACTGTGACCATTTACAACATCAATGACTAGCCCTTCAGCATTTTTTTAGGGAAATCTCTGTTGGTCACAACATCCTGGTGAGAGTTAGACTGCTTGCGATTAGTAAGCTCTGGAAGTAAAATATGCACAATTATGTCTGCAAACTCATTCCGAAATGAATCAAATCAATGATCTAAGTTGTGCACCTGCACGAACAAACTAGCAAGCAGCCTACGGTCAAGACACCAATTAGACAACAAGAGCGTGCGTGATGTCTGCTCACATGGGTCAGTGGCAAATAACAGACCTGCTAGGGTTCTGCTTGAGAAACACAGCAGATTGCATAGGTCGTGTAGAAATGTAAGGGCACACAAGACAGATTAGTTATCCTCTAGCATGGCAAAGTTTTGTCAGCATTTCAAGCAGATTAAACTCATGCTTTGTCACCATGGCATATTCAAAGAATCACTTCCATTCTCCCCTTCATCCTACAAACTACACTAACTCCTGCACTACTTGGATCAGGTATTTGGGGTGTGGATAGGCTGAAAAAACCAGACACAACGTAGAACAAAATCAGTGTGTGACAGCTCTAACTCTGAATGAGGGGAACATTCAGACACAGCAAGCTCCTGGCTTGGTTTGAAAAGCTATTAAGTGTAGCAGTGCCTGGTTTCACATGTAATGGGAAGCAATGGCTAAAGGCTGAATCCTGGTGTGTTTTGCTGCTTGCACAATGGGAAGAGCAAAAAAGCAGGAAAAGGAAGGGCTGCCTATGCTCACACATCTAGATCTTCAGCTTAATGTTATGTATGTATGTCACCAGCAGTGTCATGTGTGATGCTAAAATTTGGCACACACCCCTACCTATCACGCTCTGTTCTACAGCATTGTTTTGCAACCACCCTGCAGCACGGCACCCAATGCCACCCTAAAACCGCCTCTGCTCTTATTGTTTCTCATCTAGCTATTGACTGACTGTTCTTGCCAGAGGCCTTATGAACCCCTGTGACTATGAATCTAGACCTTTCCTTCATTGCTGTGGATGAACTTTTTCAAAAATACTCCTTGCCTCGAGT